ACTACTAGATAGCACTTACAACTGTAGCTTACCAAACATGTTATGTTATGATATATATTATATTTTGTTGTATTTAGCTCTCACAACACGAATCCAAGGCAGTGTCAAATCAAAGTCCCAATGGGATGACAAATTACTGGTAAAAACTAGCTCATTATACAAGGAGACAGAAAAGATTTTCAAAGATGCGGTAAGTTAATTCCTCATTGTATGGCCTTATTCTAACGTTATATATCTTACGTCGATCAACCGAGTTAAAGGCTCATGACTATATATCATGAGTTTTGGACGCCGGCCAGATGGAATAGTCCAGTTTCGAGTTCCAAAATACCACTGTGGTCCTAGATTACATACTCATTTATTCAGGGTTAGCCTCGAATCAGTGTCTAAATATTCAAAAATACCAACGGTAAAGTAAAGAATRCACAACTTTGACAATACAAACACTTTGAAATTCGAAGGATCTTCACTGGAACAYACAAATATTCTGCACAAAATCGAGGCCAACCCTKAGCAACAGAAAACTCGATATTGGAGTATTGGAATTGAGAAGTTGATTTTTGCGGAGGAAGGCCGAATACTGGAGAAACCGGAGAACACCCCTGGAAACACATGACAGGAGAGAGCCAATAAACAACCCTACTAACACATGACAYTCATATCAAGCTTTACTCTATATGTTAGTGTCAAAGTTGGAGWAGAGAAAGCTCACTCCRTACGTGGTATGATCAATTCCATATTTGGATTGTGCGGAAAAGCGGCAAACAAAAAGGCCGTCGTTTTATAACGAATTCGACATGAACATTTTTGAAGAARAAAAGAAAAGAAAAAAGACAAGTAAAAAGAGAAAATTTTTGTAAAATCGAGGAAGGATACGGGGACAATGCTAACTCGTGGGTCTGCCTCACAGACAACAGRCACAGGGAAATACGACACTCAATGTTTGATATGGAGTCCGCAAATAAAATCTSGGACACAATGGTGAAAGGCGAGTGCTCTCACCACTACGCCGCTGGCCTTCTTTGCAAACGTTCTTTGTGTCAATCCCTTCTCCCTTCTCACTAACGTCGTAGAGGGAGAAGTGACCGACACAAAGAACGTCCGCAAAGGAGGCTACTAAGTCACCTGTATTTCTCTATTTGAAAAAAGAAATAGCGATTCAATATTAAGTTAAGAATGTGGGATTAATTGTGGCAAAAAACTATATATGTCAACAGGCTCGCTAGTTTTATGGTTTTATGAGACCTGGGTTTAAAGCTAAGAGTAAAATCTAAGGATTAGAGACCAGAATTTAATTAATTAATTAATTAATTAATTTATGAATTAACGATAAAATACGAACATTATTTGTTGTGAAGAAGTGATCGTCCGGGTGAGTATAGCCTTGAGAAAGACTGTTGATGGTGCTGACTGACATTTCGACAACCTGAGCGCAAGTCATCCTCAGAATAAATACAAGACCATGCATGCACGACAATCTTTTCACCTCATTCTCTGGCTTTTCCTTTCCAGATTCAAAAAGTATACGAAGCTCAAAATGTTAGTGTTGAAGTCATCGTGCAAGAGTTTACAAAAGGGAGCATTATAATCTTCTATGAGGTGATCGTTAAAGGTGTCACATCRACATCGGATCCTCGACAACTTCTGGTCAGTGCCATTAAAGGAGGAAAAATTGGGAATTTGACAGTTGACCCAGAATATATTGATATCAAAGAAGTGTATCCAGGTAAACAAATATGCATTTGGGAAGGGGGGGGGGGGAAGGGCGGGGGCGCAATGTTTTCCCATTTCAGACTGTCATTCCTTAGAGTATCATTTCTTTGTCAAACCAAAAATCCTATTTCCAAAGAAATGGCACGTGTTCCGAATTGGGAAAACTTTGACACCAGAGAAAAAAGGAAAGCAATAGCTAGTAATCGATTTCGTCACCTTTTTTAAATTCAACAGCAACGATTTGCAAAAGACTCGAAGCAAACATAATCGTAACAACTGAAAATCATTCTTTTCCAGGTCTTGATTTGAGTAGCTATAAAACCGTTGTCGRAAGCTTCTTCAACAATTGCTGTGACTCACACCTTGGTTTTGCAAATCAAACGAGGACCTGTTCAGCAGTCACCAGCAACGCGACATGCGTGGGAGCTGTGGTATACCGAGAGGTGAAATGCGAAGAAGTGRAGGATCAGACATGCAGTGCAGGTAGGAACAGCTTGAATATTCCCTGTCACTATGATTTAGTGTCGAARTTGTGAAAAATATCTATGTGTTCCAGTGTGAAGATCACACACARCTCAAGCAATAGAGGCTTTGCACCATCACGTGCCAGCGCCCATAATGSGCTGCCTGTGGTTAGATGGCAGAACAATAAATCCCYTTGCTCTTGGGTATTGAATTMTTTCTTATGTAAAAGGATYGCGTTGTTMCTGCYATCTAWCATGGCTGCCGTCACGTGATGGTGCAAAACCTCTATACATATTATGTACGGAGAGAGAGAATATATCAAAACGCACTGAAAAGCGCTGAATTCGGTCAAAGCACTATAGAAGTTCTGTCCTATCTTATTAAAGCAATAGACCTATTTCGTTGTGGTGCATAGTTTTCCTATATCAGATCACGTGTCATTCCATAGATTATAATTTATTTGAGACATCCATATTCATTTGTCTTCTAATGAGCAACCGTTWAACAAATAAATGACACTCTTTGGAATGGCACGTAGTCTGTAATGGCAAAAAAACATTCCAAATAAGGACAAATAAAGACTATTCAGATACATTTACTTTATAAAGCTTGGGCTACCTGTGGTGAAGAAAAACTGTACTGTGGAGGTTATGCATTTCTTGATATTTTTCGGCCTTTGAAACGTAACTAGCTCTGATTCTCTAATGAAAGGCCATAACGGAACTTAATTGAATCAAAAATAATTCCCGAGCATGCGCAATAACTTTTAGTGATTCAATATACATTCGTATACCGCATGCGCGGTCTTGTTCTGTGGTTCTTGTTTGAAAATTATTCGTAGGTTGTRAAAAAAAAGAATATTTTAGATATTTCTAGTTGCAGTACCGAAAATTAATATTGCTGCCGCTCGCGTTGGTTTACCTGTGTCGAGGCTGCAACAGGAAACCCAATCAAACAAAACTGAACAAGTTGAACGACTCAACTCAGTAAGCTGATATAAATATGAAGCAAAAAGACTTTGTTTTCGCCAACATTAGTATAGAYCAATATATAACGGCTATACTATAGATCCTAAGGCTATTGAAGCCGAGCCATTTTGTCGTGCAGCCGAGAAGATTTATACTATCAATGAACAAGACTCTCGGAAAGTTTGAAAAGTTGGTCTTCATAGTATTCAATGTAAAATGATCCGTAAAATCTGATAAAGCTTCTACTTACCACCAATAGCATATAACAGCTTAGCTTTTTTTCGATAGCCTGCAGGAAGATTACCATTCAGGAGTACGAGGAAGGAGCTAATTCTGTTCTTCCAGAAGCCGGTGGTTGTCTTATTGAAGATTGAAGGCCAGGCAACCAAGGAAGGATTGAAATCACGARGGAGGGGAGGGTGGTTGGCAATATTTTGCTTGACTGTTGGCTCGCTTGCCTTTATGCTTTAAATAAAGTTGTAGTTTCTTTGTAGTTCAGTTATATTTGATATTTGTAAAAATATAATAATTTGGTGGTTTTTTTGTTTTTTTTAGCATCTTTGAGACAGACAATAGCCTTGATTCTTGGCTTAATCGTTAGCAGATTGTAAGTTTACAATTTTATTATAATAATGATAATAATAATAATAATAATAATAGTAATAATAATAATAATAATAATAATAATAATAATAATATTGGCGCGGAGGGAGTACTAGGGCAGACTCAAGAAAATATTTATGAATAATTCCAAAATAAGTGTTATTAAACTCGCGCTCTGACTGGTTGGACGCTCGTGCATTATAAGAGCACTCCGCACGCGCTCGCACGTTCCATTTCGGCATTCGTTTCCATGTACGTAAGAACTACTCAAATTTGTATTTTAAAAAAGGCTTTATTTATTAAATTCCCGGTATAATTCTGGTTTTTAATCGTTTATCTTATCTCAACAGATTGTTGTGAAAAGAAGATATCAAGACTCTTCCTGTTGATAACCACGGCACTGATTTTCACTCGTAGCAATAATGTTTGACAATTAATGTTAAGACTGATTATCACCAAGGTARCCCGCTACATTCGATGCAAGGTTACCATGGTGACCTTCTTCATACTGTGCAATAGTGTAATTTATTAACTATTATTTATACAAAAATTAACATGGTAATGTTTACCACAAGCTACCATGGTAATATTCACACCACTTACATTCACCACAGTTACCATGGTAATAGTCRCCACTGTTACCATAGTAATTTTGTTGCAACCATGGCAATGCTCACAAAGGGTCACCAGGCTTAAAGACAGAGAGAAAATCGATTGAAAGATTCTTTTTAWTGCACTGCAGTCAACAAGACCTGGCATGGATTGTCTTGTAGAAAGTATTTGAGTCCTTATACAAATAAATCAAAACCGTCTTGGTACCGTTGTAAAATAATTTTAAAGAATTTTAACAGRAAAATTAACTTCACAAAATGCCAAAACTTAAAGTCGTTTCGAAAATCACAATGATCTTGATCTCACAAACTGATTCACGAAAAAAAAGTTTCGCACATTTTGGTTTCGCTCTAAAACTCTTCACGTAATTCGTGAAAAACTTACTGAAAACGCACGCATGCGCAGAAGTTTTTCTTAGGTGTTTAGATCTAATGCAACTAATTGYAACTTGTGTATTTTGTAAATAAACGTCATCCTTATTATTACTGTAATTTTTCTTCTGTTGTTGACATGTTTATGCAATACAATCATTACAGTACAGGACAGGACGGCTGTGTTGAGATGCTATCAATAGCATCTTAGGCACAACTTCTAGTATAGAATACAGCACGCATGTTTGAGTATATTAACGTCAMTTCGAGAGACTTTTTCGAATTCTAGGAAGGCAACACAATATCATCCTAACAAGAGTTGCTTCTATAAAAGAGAGCCGGCACGCATGTATGATGTTTATTAGAATTTAGGATTTTTTGGGTCAAATTTTTGCATGTGATGGGCGTCCTGCGTTATGCGTGTCAGAATACATAAGAAACCCAATTTAAGCCAAATTTGAACTCGTTTTTCTCATCATTGCTATGAGTGTTCAGAATCATCCTAACGCCTTCATTTAACGCATCTATAGTTCTGACATGTGTGATTTTTTTTGAAAAAAAGTTTGAAAAACGACCCTAAATGAGAAAAATGCTATAAACGATACACCGCTGACCGGTAACACTTTTCCTCACACATTCTGTTCCTCTTGAAATCTGTAATAAAAGTCTGATAAAGAAAATAACGCCAGAACCATGTTAGCATGGTCATAAGCTTTCTATCGATTTGAATTTTGTTTGGAAAAACCTWTTTTTTTTGATTTACGAAAATTTGGAACCATCGAAAAAACGCTTATTTTGGGTTTCCAACTTCAAGCGGCTTGTTTTCCATGAAGCAAAGTAAAATGTCAAAATTATCTTACACCCAGATTTAAAGCTTGTTTTATACTTTCTCTCAAAACCGAAAATTTTAGAATCAAGATTTTTATTCTATTTTTAATCAAACGTTTTTCGACAGGTAGAGGCATTTGGGCTACCTGTGATGAAGTTTAGTCAGCCTCAACAACAAAGAATTGTAATTTTGGGAGTGAAAAAAGGCAAATACTGCAAATATCCTAAGAAATATACTTTAAGTAGTTAGTTATCTTTCCGCTACATCCAGTTTTTTTCAAGAAAAAACGCAGTTGAGTTTTCGGAAGTTTTTCCATGTTACCACAGGGATCCCAAGCATTCAAAATTATAAGCTGCAGTTAGTAAGTTTTTTTAAAGCTTTTCTTTTTATTTATACGTAATGAAATTGAGAGATTATAGAGATATATTTATTTTTTCCAAATAAAAAAAATCCAAATTTACGAGATGAGAAATCCATGATTAGTATTTATTACCTATTCGTTTATTTCAGAAAAAGGTTTGAAGAATACTAAAAGTAAAATTTGGGACTTTTCAATTCCAAGATATGAGCCAATATGTAAAAAACTATATTTTCCAAAATTCTTGACTTCTTGATAAAAACGTAAAATAAACTCAGTCACTACARCTCATAATTCGGGGTCCCTGTGGTAAAATGTAAAAAGATTCCCGAAAATTCAACTGTTTTTTTTTTTTCTTGAAAATAATTATTGCAACAGAACGAATACCGGSCAAGTAAAGTATATTCTTCGAAATATTTGCAATATTTGATTATCTTCACTTCCAAAATTGCGGTTCTTTATTGTTGACTTCACCACAGGAAGCCCAATTTCCTCCACCCCTCAAACAATGCTTAATTAAAAATAGAATTAAAATCTTGATTCTTAAATTTTTAGGTATTAGGGAAAGTTATAAATAAGCTTTAAATCTGGGCGTTTATATATTATGGCATTTTGCTTTATTTGATGGAAAACAAGCCACTTGAAGTTGGAACCATAAAATATGCGTTTTTTCGGTTGGTCAAATCTTTCGTAAATCGAAAAAATAGTTTTTCTAGACAAAATACACATGTTTAGAAAGCTTAAGGACGTGCCAATATGGTTTTGAATTTATTTCTTTGATTAAAGCTACATTAAAGATTTTACGAGGGAAAGTAAAATAGTGTTTGGTCAGCGGTATATCGTTTCTAGCATTTTCCTAATTTCGGTTTGTTTTTTAACTTCTTTCCAAATAAATCTTACACATATGATAGAACTAGGGATGCGTTATATGATGGCGTCAAGATAGGTCTTGAACACTAATAGAAATGAGGGGGAAAACCAGTTGAAATATGAGCTAAATTGGGTTTCCTGTGTGTATTGTTTTAAAGCCTGCACAACACAGTGAGCCCATAATGATCAAAAGTAAAGGTTAAATCATTTYATAAAAATTATAAATTATACCTTAATATAAAATGTAATTTTTGAAAGGCTCTTAAACATTTAAATATATTCATATCTGAGTGACGGATAATGATAATGCCCTACGCACACAGTACTGTATCTGAATTAACGACTGTCGTATCTTATTTCAAGAAAGCTAAGACTACGTTWATCATCTACACACATAACATTTAGAATCCACATTACCTTTATTCTTGTCTTGTACAAATTACTAGAAAACAGTCATTCCTTTGGTTTGCTCTGTTCGTTGAAGCTGTATACACGTGAGTGTCCAGCGTATCTGACAAGGAGGTTTTGCACCATCACGTGCCCATCCCATAATACTGCTTGGGCTGCCTGTGGTTAAATGGCAGAACAATAAAATTCCTTTGATCTTGAGAGTTGAATTCTTTCTCATGTAAAACAATTGTATTGTTCCTGCTATCTAACATAGCTGCCGCCGCGTGGTGATGCAAAACCTCTATAGAAGCTTTAGTGTGTATACAACGCGCTTCCYTTGAGACCAAAATATTTGAGCGTTAAAGCATGTTATGCGGGAATGGATTTCAATCAGAAAAGTCTTTTGTTTGATGGAGGCTTGCTGTTTCATTATGCAAGAACAACCTTATTGTGCATAATAAATACCCATTTTCACATATTTAAGATATTTTCTGTAGTTTATTTGAAGCTTAACAAGGTTAAAAATAAATAAATAAAAATAATATAATTAACATGAAAAATAAATCACGTCAGTTACTCGTACAAGCAATATACGCTTTTAAGTTTGACGTCAATAGTGAACGACTACCGGGTCCAAAAAAAAAAAGCAGTTTTATAAAGTTTTGCCCTACTTTTTTCATGACAGGGTTTGATGATTACAGTTCTAAATCTAGTTGTTAAGGTTAAATCATAGTAAACTTTTTTCACTTTATTTTAGCTGTTTTTATGAGCAGCTCGACCCGGAAATATGTTACAACTTAAAAGCTCTATAAGTCTGAACGAGGGAACATCCATAGCGCAACTAAAAAATGTCTTTGCTCTCTGGTTGGATGATGTGAAAAAGATCTCTTTATTACCTTGGGCGTTATATTTCTCCATTTCAGACCACGTGTCATATCCACTTGAGAACAAGATTCTTTGTTTGTGCTGTATTCATATTCATGTGTCTTCTCATGCGCAACCATTAAACAAAGAAATTATACTCTAAGGAATGACATGTGGTCTGAAATAGGAAAGCATTACACCCAAGGTAATGAGGTCCTAATTGATCTCCACTTTAGCACACTCGTAATTCCTACTGTTTGTACTTTTCCCTCACGATTTTCTAAATTAAGAATGTGCAAAAGGAATAACATTTTTAAACTCTGCGTAAATTTTTCACTAAACTAAGCATGACAAAATGCGAGCAGTCGCTCATCTGAGTCGTTCACCTATAATAAGTTAAGCTAATAAATACCAATAGTGTTAGTGTAATGCATGTGTACTGTCCTCTTGACGCGAGAAGTTTTGCTCAAAGCCTATAAAGAAACGAAATAAAGTTAAATAGAGTGATGTAGGTTTTTTCTTCTTATTCTTATTCCGATATACACTTGTTTCGATAAAGTTTGTCACCAAAAAACCTAGAAAGCTGAGATCACTGAGGATCATGGGAAGCTTTTAATATCAAACAAGTAAAGCTTTTGATACGATTTGCAGCTTGAGGATGCTCAGAAGAGGTGAGACTGTAACTGGTAAAAGATCTAAAATCCATCAACAGTTATCAAAGCGGTTGAAACATGTAAAATGTAACTACCCATAATCCTTGTTGGTCTCAGCTTTGTAGCATTTCAGGTGACTAACTTTATTGAAATAAGTGTATACATGTTCATGTTCCTTCTTCCTTCCTTCTTTCCTTCCTTCCTTCCTTCCTTCCTTCCTTCCTTCCTTTTTCTTCTTCTTTCTCTTAATGGACAACATAAACAACTTTCGTTTTCCAAATAGTTTTGATCGTTTAAGTTGATAGTAATTAACTTTGTTGAGTTATTTCGTTGTCCTTCTTCTTCTTCTTCATTCCTCCTTCTTCTTCATTCCTCCTTATGTCCGTCTGGGTTTTTTCTCATCAGAGACTCCTCTCCGTTCATTTTACTCACCACAATCGCACATACACTTACCAGGCGAAAGACGAAGCAAAAATGCAAATGAGTATCCCCAAAACATATGGAACAGTCTTGGAAGAATCTGAAACATTGATTAATTGAATTTGAAGATATAGATTGAGTTCGCCTATGCAGCGTAAAGCTGCTTCGTCAGATATAGTTCATCTTCTATCCGCGGTAAGCGACTGCGTGCTCTTTACCACTTCAGTCTATCAGTGCTCTGCCTTTAAGGGTATTGTATGAGAGAGGGGTTGAAATGCATTCATCATCATATACTTTCTACCATCATTATCACCATCATCACCATCATCAACAAATCATCTTCTTTATAATTATCAATTAATAWTAAAATCATTATACCAAAAGTCATCATCAATTAAACATCATCATCATGGTTACGCCAGCTGCAGCAACGTCAGCAGTCATCACAGCCATCATCATTATCGTACATTATATTACCCATCATCGTCATCAATCCGGCATCGTTATTGTCATCATCATCAACATCATCATCAT